GGTGTCTCAGAACCTTCAGAGTGAGAAATTTCTTTCTTATATCCTCTCTAAATCTATCCTCTTTCCATTTAAAACTGTTAACCCTTGTCATGTCACTATAAGCCACCTTTATATACTGAAAGGCTGCAACAAGGTCTCCCTGGAGCTTTCTCTTGTCCAGGCTGAACAGCCCAAACTCTCTCAGCCTGCCTTTGTAGGAGAGATGCTTCAGCCTTCTGATGATTTCCATGGTCTTTCTCTGGACCTACTGTGACAGGTCCATGTCTTTCTTGTGCTGAGGGTCCTAGAGTCAGGTGCAATACTCAGCTTGTTGCCCAGAGATTTCCACAGCCAGGAGTGAAATCTATTTATTTCTCTTCTGTTCATTTTCCTGTTTGACTTGGTTAAGCATTCATCATCCACAAAATGCTGCAGCGAGGAGTTCCATGGCTTGCTTAGGTGCTGTGTGAGGAATCACTCTCTTTGCTTGTTTTAAATCTGCCACCTGCCAATTTCATTTGATGCCACCTTTGCCTTACTACAGACAGTCAGTCCCTGTGTGCTCTCTTTGGTGCTTACAGTTTTGTAGAGGTTGCGTTGGCTGCAGTGCAGGTGCTGATGAAGGATATTGGTTTCTCCAAATACTTTATGTACAGCAGGAGCCAAGTGCTAGTCTGGATGAACTCCTGTCTTACTGAAATGGTAGCCAATCCAGCTGCTTGGATTTGACCTCCAGAGAATGCAAGAGAAGCAGATGTATAAGAAAGGTTTATTTTAGAGAGATGTCCTGCAAGGAAAGCTCACCTGACAGCTTGCAATACCAGACCCTGGCCAGATTTTAATTTAGAGGCATCTTCTGCCCAGTCCTTCTGGGATTTATAGGGACATGGAGATCCCCATCCATCTTGACAGGGCTTCATCATCACACTGTGCTAAGTTAATTCAATAAACGGAATTATGATTTAAAGAATGCAGCCCCCCTGACATTTTTACCACCACAGAGGCCACGTGCCTTTTCTGATAACCCATGGACAGCAGCAATGGCAGACAATGAGTAGCAGGAGAGATGGTGCTGCCCCAGCAGCCTTGAAGGGAAACTGAGTAACTGGGGACAGAGAAATGGCCCTTTTCCTCACCCCCACAAGTTCATTTGTATCACTCCACACAGTGGGATTTTACCCTCTTCATGTTCTGCTTTGCATCCATTGGGAAGATTCTCGTCCAAAATGTAGTCAGAGGGCCGGGGTGAGGCATTTTAATGGAAAAAGAAGTGTCTGGTGCTGATTAAAGTTGGGGTTTTTTAACCCAGCATTAGAATTGGCAGGGCTGAGCCTCTTGCTTACCCTGTGAAGAATTACAACATTTCTGCTAACACAAATATGCGTTCTGAGTTTCCCCTCTCCCAGCACATACGCCAACCACCCACCACTTGGCAGCTTCCCTCTGCTGCCAGGCAGCTGCTCTCCCGAAGATCTGAGGATTTCCTCGCGTGCTGCTCTCTGCCTGTGAAAGGATCGTGCAGCATCGGACCTGCTGGTCATGTTCCCCAGAGAAAAGTCCTGGAGGGATTTTGGTGTCCCCTCTATGCTCCTCCTCCTCTCTGCCTTCCACTTTGGGGCAAGGAGCCCTTCTATAAGCAGGCATGGGTTTTGAACACTGGGATTCACAACATGATGCTACTGAAATGTGCTGCAGACAGGATGTTTTGCAGGCAGTCACAGCATGCACATTAGGATTAGCTGTTCCAGGGGAAAGCAAGGGCCTCAATCACTACAGGACAACCCGCACTAAAATCATTAGGACCATTTACAAAGCTAAAGCAAACTGATGCTGCCAGTGGGTACCTGTGGGTGGCCTCAGGGCAAACCTGTGTTTTGCTGCGATAAATCTCTCTCTAGCTCTATTGCTCACATGCAGTGTGGCTTCCAGAAGCAGCAGCCTCCTTTTGCCAGGATGCTGCCTGTCGGGTTTGCCCTGACTCCATGTGCCTTATCCTCTCAGATGCACTGGGTACAGGCAACCTTACATGCTTATTTATGGACAGTAAGGGGTCTGCCCCGTGCACCTGGTACCCGGCGGATCTGCAGTGGTTGCAGTGCCACAAGGCCTCCGTTGCTGGCTCTTTGCACAGGTTTGGTGCAGGTGTTGATGCTGCAGGTTTGAGACAGAGAGGGAGCAGATACAAGCTTAGCTCCATGGCATGGAGCCAGGGTCATCACTTATTGAAATATTGTGGATGAAGTTTGGTATAGATGAATGCAAATAAACGCAGATTGGAAGAAAAGACAGGGAGGGATTTCTCATAGATTCCAAACTAGCAGACTTGTGAAACTCACTGGGTTTTGAATCTTGTAAAAATAAAATCAAATCTTTGTCCCTTTCAGTTTGGGTCTCACTCTTATAAGCTACATAAAATGAGATGGGCTCCATAAGGACAAGACGTAAAGATATAAGCAAATCTCTAGTTGGATTAATGTGAAATTTATTCTCGTGAATTTATGTGGCAAAATTAAAGGATTTGTCAGAAAAGCATGCAACCACTTTAAAGGTATGTGGGATTGATCAGCACAAGAGAAGTGGTACCAGCATGCATGGTTAATTGTCCGGTGCCTGCATACCATTCTTCCTTGTCTTGGGATATTGCAGATAACAGCAAACCTCTTTGTTCATTCCAACAAAAATCTCTTTGGGGAAGTCTTTATGGTTTTCTCTGCAGGAGCTTTATCTAATCCTTCTAATGTGCTGGGCAGAAAGGGCACATTCCTCCAGCACACGTCCTTCAGCTTCTAATTTGCTTGCAAAGGCAATGTTGAATGATTGAACTGATGACTTCTTAAGTTTAATTACTTTTTTCCTCTGCCTGTGAAACTTAGAATATATAAAACCTCCTGCTCATATACTTCCTGAGAATGTTCCTGTCAGTCTTCATTGCATTTCATCACATCACCCACTGACTGCCATAGTGGCCACAGAAATGCAGGACCTGATGGTTGTACTACAGAGAAAAGGGATAAGGACTGGTGGAGGCTCGTCGTAACTAACAGCTTTAGTTTTGGATTGTTTTCTTGGTGGAGGATGGACGTGTTTGTGTTCTCCTTTTTGTTTGGTATTTTTGTATTTCTTTAGTTGTTATGTCTCTTTGACTAGATTCTACATCCAAATTTGCAGGGAAGTTTTATCTGCCACAAAGTTGTATTAGTAATTAATTTATCTGTCCCTTCTGACATCACACTGTGTTTCTGTGGAAACACTATATGGTGTAAGACACTGTGCTATACTCATATTCTGAACTGCAATTCATGTCATTTGTATCTCTTTTTTTTTTTTTTTCACCCTGTAGATAATTTCAGCTTTTTGGCAAAATAAATTTCATATACCATCTCCTTTCATTCTCAGTATATTTTTAGAAATGCTATCTGAAGCCTCATGGTATTTACAGCTTGGAGGTTCTCTGGTGTAGGCTGGGCTCCCACACAAGGTTGCATGTCCCTTGATATGCCACAGCTTGTTGTCTTTCCTTGAGGCTACTTGTTAACTCGCCAACTCAACACCGTGAGGTGTTCAAAGAACTACCCCCCTCCAGTCTATATACTTCAAAAATCTGGGTTTAAAAGAGATTTTCTGCAAGCATTAGTCATGGGATATAGAAAATACTGCAAAAATTACAAAAAAATAGAAAAGCATACATAATGTGCTTTTGTAGAAAAAAATATATTTAAAGGAAACATAATATGGGAATTTAATTCTGAAACACAAAAGCCACAAACCAAAATAAAACTCACCAAACCCCAAACACTCACAAGTGTGGCCAGTTCTCTAGGTACATATTTTGCCCAGTTCAGCCTTCTGGTGTTAAGATGCAAAGAAACAAGGTCTCATTGCCCTTGCAGGTGAAAACCATGGCGTGGCCATGAGTTCACAGGTGGATGAAAACCCAGAAGCAGAATCCTTCTTTGTCAGCTAAGCACCGTGATAAAACTTTAACAAGACAAATACGCTATTATTTCATCCTAGAGCTGTTTAACTGGTAACCCTTTTTCTGGACAGACTATCTCAATTTTTTTAATCTAATATTGTTGTATTATTTTACCTGAGGCAGTCTGGTATAGTATCTCTGATTAGTTCTGTTTAGGAAGGTGTTAGGGAATCTTATCCATCTTACGAACGACTTTTTGATTTTTCTTCATTTTAAATATCTTTCTGGCCAACATTAGGCTCTTGATCCTTGAAGATGCCCTAGAGCTTATTACAAGGTCTGCTGAAGTCCATCTGCATTATATTGTCTCTGTATGATATTTCATCCATTTCCTCTTTGTGCCTTGGGCTAGGAAGAGTCAATGGTTAGAATCCAGCCAGTGGCAGGACTTTCAGATGCTTTTCAGAGGTATATCCCACTCCAGTGCACCATGAGATTCAGGTGGGTCCCACATACTCTGAACAACATAATTCAGTAAGTGAAATTAATGAGGAGACAAGAAGGAGATAGGCATCCACTGGACAGCTCTCATTGGAGAGTACAGCAGCATTTGCAGACGGAAGGTTTGGTTTCTGGAAGAATTTGGATTGCCAGTTTATGCCAAAAATTAAGTGTTCTGTGGAAGGCAGGCGTTTGATGACAAGGGTCATGCCCAGCTCTGGGGGGATTCTTGACAGGCATAACAGCATATCTGTTTACAAAGAGAGGGTTTTGTTAGATGTTCCCTATTCTCTTTGTTCCTCTTAGCACTCTGGACTCATGTAATCCCATGTGCTCAGCCTGCAAGAGCTTTTCCTTGCTGATCTATAAACCAGACAACTCCTCCTTTCCTTGTGCCAGCCCTTACCAGTACATGGGCTGCATCCTCTCACAGCTGCTGCTCTCTGAGGGACTGTGTGTTTCTTCTATGTCAAGCTTTCTGACAACTTATGGATGAAGTTAAAAACCTCCATCTCTATTTAGCCACAGATGGGCCTTTTCAACGCCAGAAAAACCCACCACCTGCTGCTCTATTATTAGGGTAGCCATGTTTTTACCAGGAGTAAACACCGCGGATAAAGGAAGTTGGAATCTGATGTTGAATAGTGGTTGGAGGGAACAACAGTGATCTGACCTCTGACTTTGTCTCTGTGATGGTTGGTGGCCAAGGTGCTGACCGCTTCTACGACAACGTTGAGGACATGATTGGTTTCCGGCCGTGGCCCCTGATCAAGATCTGCTGGCTGGTGTTCACCCCGGGTCTGTGCTTGGTAAGTGCAACTATGGCAACATGGTATGTTACTCTGGGTCCCTGAGCTCCCAGTAAAAAAGGTTGATTTTTCTCCAAGGTGCTGCTGTAATTTTTTCAAACTGCTATGGAAAAGGAGAAGCTTGTCCATAGCTGAGGTGGCTATTTATTTCTTTCGTAAAGTAAAGCCTAATGTTTTGCCTGGACAACTAACTAAGCCTGAAAAGCCACTTGTTTACTGTGAAGGCAAAGGGAAATATATCCTAAAAGCCTGGAGAGGTTTGGTCAAATTACTTTTGAGTAGAAGACTAGTGAGAATTACCCTGTTCTGAAATACTTGCTTCAGCCTGTGTTCCTGGGATTGCCTGTGGTTTGGAAATGTTTTCCACAGCTTTCTATGTTATTAAACTACTTGTAAAGCTTCTATGACTGTGTTTAAAGAAAATGCACCCAATGTCAGGCAAGTTCTTGCCTGTTTTGAATTTATGTCCAGTCTTGCTCCACTGGCTTTTTACATGAATTCTGAGCCAAATTCTGCTCCTGCATCTGATGTTGAGAGTTGTTTTCTTTGACCTCAGTGGGAACACAGATGGGATCTATAGCTACAACTTACAAAAGATTCCTAGTCCTTCATCCTTAGGCTCCAGCAGGACTTGAAAATCAGGGAAATTTTCAAACCAAGCCTGAGCCAGCCCAAATCATCTGAAAGCTCTGTAGCTAGAGAGCCCTGGGATGGGTAAATCCGTGCCCACATATGTTACTTCTGGAGGGCTTCTGCCAGGAAGAACAACAATTCCTGGCTTTGATATGAATAAATTGCTGTCTCAATGTTGCTGGACCCTCAAAGTTGCTGTCAACTTTGCTTACACTGAACTCTTAAGAAGCCTGAAGGCTTTACACTGTGGAGATGCCTGGCCCTGGCTCAGAGGTAACTTCTTGTGCAGCCAGCATGCACCAAACTCTGCTTGCCACAAGTAGCCAGGTCTACTCTAGCTCATACAAGACAGCACACTCACTGCCACACAGATGGTGCTTGCAGGGTGGCCAGGCTGCTGGGCTTGGCTGCTCCCTTTGTTCTGTTTAAGTCTGTGTTTTCTGCTCCTCAGGGTGTCTTCCTGTTTTCCCTGATCAAGTACACACCCTTGAAATACAACAATTCCTATGAGTACCCAGCCTGGGGCTACGTGCTGGGCTGGCTGATGGCACTCTCCTCCATGGTCTGTATTCCTCTCTACGCCATCTTCATCCTCCTGAAGACCAAAGGACCGCTGAAGCAGGTACTGGGGGTTGTGGTCACTGGGCATGTTGCTGTTGCTTCCCCCAGATGGCTCATGGAAGGGCCCCAGGGAAGATGCATGTGGCATATCTCTCCTGCGAGAAGGCAAGGGAGGGTGAGAGTGGCCCTTCCCCAGTATATTCTATAGGTCTTGTTGGCATTTTGGAGGGCTTGAAGTGTCTCAGCACAGCTTCCAGGGTGATCATCAAATGTCCAAAGTCTTTCATGAGGTGTTGCACCACCATACTCAGTGCAATATATATACATATATATATACATACATATATATATATATAGTATATATACAGTAGGTTGCAATGCAAACCCAATGCAAAACCAGGATCTGTTTTGCCTTTACTTCTTGTCCCTTTTATTCCTGGGTCAGGACTATGTTATTTTCAAAAAAGAAATTACCCAGAGTTATTAAAGAGGACATGCTCACAGAGCTGTAAAGGTCTACCCTGTGCCGTGCCCAAGCCTGTCATCTTTCACTGTAGACACCTTTCGTCTTGTCCTAGGAAAAACTGTATTTAGGAAGATGGTGTCATGGAGATGACACCTCACTTGACCCATGAAGAAAGATCTGAGTGATGTACAGTACATCTAAATTTCTACACAATTTCTCTTCTGGTCCTTCCCCATCCTCGCTGCAGCTGGTTGGGGGTTGTGGTGGGCAGAGGGAGCAGGTGAACAGGGAATGGGAGCATCCCTGAGGCTGTGGTGTGGGTGTGATGGTCACATCGTGGGGTCATGGAGAGGAGAACCCTGTGCTGCCAACACATCCAGGGATGGGCTGGGTGCAGGATGTTCTGGTTGGCTCCATTGTCTCAAGGAAGATGAATCTGTGCCTACATGGGCTCTTATTTGCTGGCTGGGAGGTGTGTCAACAGGGAGAGACAAGAGTTGTGACAGAGCTGGCTAATTCCTATCCCAGGCTCAGGAAAAGATACAGGATAAGGCCCAGACAGGAATGGCAACAGTTAAAAGTCTCCTGTGAAACACTGAGAGGGGCATAAGCCATGCAGGCAGGAAGGTAGAGAAGTATGAAGCTCTGAAATAGTTTCTGTTTAGCTGCCTTTGACCCCACAGACTCCTGGTTGCTGTTGGCAGACATGAAGAGATTATGAGTTTGGAAGGAAGCTGGGAACTGTACAGTATGAGGAACTGCAGGGGAATCTTGTGCCAAGATGCTGTGATATGGTTTGCTCCAAGTTCAGACCTCTAGTCCTGCCTCTTACAGCCCTCTCCTGTGCTCTGGGCTGTTTAGCAGTGATGCATCTGTCCTTTCCCTTGGCTGGTTTGAAGAGTTTGACTGGGTGGGTGACATACCTGACTCCCCATGGCTCAGAGGCTTTATATGTCTAAATGAGGACGTGGAGATGTCACTGATGTAACTGCCTGCTAGTTACATGCCTGCTAAACAAGCAATATCTCTCACCTGGCAAAGTACTTCAAGCCCTTGGACAGAAGTGCTGCTGTGAGTAGTGTTAATGTTTACTGCAGAGCACTCCTGAGGAACTGATGTGGCCTGTTTTAGATGGAGGGCTTTTCTGTTTTGCCCTGGTTTAAATTATATTATTTGTAATTACCACGGACCCCTCAGTTATGTTAGTATGAAGGAACTTCCAAAGATGTGATTTAGGTATGTGGGAAGGAATCGGCTGCTAAACCTGGATTGATTCAGGGCAGAATCAAAGCCAGCCACATGATACCTCCTGGAATACTTGCACCTTTTTTGAAAACAAGTTTTCCCAAAATATACCTGTTCTCTTTTTCCAGACACACCCCAGAAATGTAGTGAAATAATTTCCTGGGACAGATGCTTCCAGGAACAGTGCCTTTCAATTTAATATTGCAAAACACTCACTGAAAGCAAGTTTGTAATTGGTAATTATGATCAGTCACTGCAACAAACTGATGCCTCTTTTATACTTGATTGACCAAGAAACACAAATGTTGTTTCCTAATGTGTCTGATTAAGGCAGCTCAAGCTCCAAAGACTGAAAATTCACAATCAACTGCTCACAAAGCAGCTGCAGACCGAGGTCAATTTCAGAAATCATGGGGCAAATAGTTTTGAATAAGTGAACAAAATCCATGATTCTGGCAGGCACTTCACAAGGGATGGGAGCACTAAAATTAATCCAACGAGTCATGGATGAATTGGCTGCTCTGCTGGGATGCACTCTGCATGGGAGGAGCGTGCACTGGCCTGAACAGCTTGTGATGGAAAAAGTTAGTAACTGTGAAAGCTAGTTTTCATCAGGGAAATGATACGCTCTCTCATGGAACCTGGCAGGTAGCTGCAGGACGCTGAGTGTTGGTTGGCTTTGGGAGGAGACCAGGAGCTCAGGAAGGCGTGTGGCACAAGAGGGACTTCAAAAATCAGATGAGTAACACCAGAAATTCACAGCAGCTGTCCCTGTAAGCCAGCACTTTCCCCCCAAAGAGCTCGAAGATACTTGCATTTTCTAAGAATAAACTCCCCAAAGCTGTCACAACTCTGCATATGTGTGTGTGGAACAGCCTGTAGCACCCTGCATTGCACGGGGCGGAGGGAGCTAAGGGCAGGTAGCTGCTTCACAACCCCTGTCTTCACCATTGCAGTCTGGCTGGCTGGAAGAGGGGAGCTGAGATGGTTTGGGGGCAGAAACCAGTTTGCAGAGGGACTGCCTCACCTGGGAAATGCCGCTGAGGTAGCTATCACCTACCACCCTGTTTTGGACCACGGCACTTTCTGATGATCAGACCATCTAAAAGGCTTCGCAGCTCTCACCAAAGTCAATGGCAAGCATGACTGCTTGGTATAGGAAAAAAAAGGGCTTTATGGCGTTTTCTTCCATTGCCACAGAAAATGGCTGTGGTGCTAATTGCTGGCATCCTCCCTCACAGAACCGGGTCTGTGAGGAGTCCAGCTGAAGTTAGCCTGCTCTCCTCCCTCTCTCTTTCACAGCAGTTCAGTGGGAGAGGAGCAGGGAGCTGGGAGCAGTGGCTCTCTAGATGCCTTTGCCCCCAGCAATGGTTGTGGATCACTATTGGCTGTCAGTTTGTTTATCAGCTTAATTAACAGAGACTTCCTCTCCGCAGCGGCTGATGCAGCTGATTTCCCCGGCGGAGGATCTGCCGCAGCCGAAGAAGCACGTGGCGGGGCTGTCCGAACCGAGGCGCCAGGGATGGTCTTCTCCGATCCAGGAGGTGCTCAGCATCACAGAGAGAGAAACCCACTTCTAAGGCAGACTGATTTGCTCTCTCCTTCCCAAAGTGGTTTGTTTTCTCTCCCGGGCACTTCCCTTCTCTCCTTCACGCCTGAGACAGAAGCATCTGGGACACCCTCTCCTTCCAGCCAGCTGGTTGCACCCACTGGGGACAGTATTTCTTTTGACACCTTGGGGACAACTCACCCTGCCAGTAGCTGGGAAGACTGCAACATGCTTTTGTTAGAAGTGTCCTTCAGTACTGACATTGGTTTGGAAGAGAAAAACAACACAGTAACCAAAAAAAAAAAAAAAAAAAAGAAAAGAAAAGGTGCAAAAGGTGCATTCATGTTGAGAGGAGGAAAAGAAACCACAGTGGTGAGAGAGAGAAGGGAGTAAAGGTGTGAAGGAGCCAAGTGAGGGATGCAACAGCACAAAATGATGGGGTGTTAGTGCAGGAAATAAGTAAGCTGGTTCAGAAGTACATAAGAAGCTGGAGGATAACAAAGGAAAATACACTGCTAGGTCACCTATGTATGAGGAAGAGAGGAACATATCATAGCCAATGACAAAAAGGAGGATGCAGTGTTAGTAGTACAGCTTTAGCTTGTCACTGAAAGGGAAGAGAGTGACAGGGTGCTTGATGCAATCATAGTTGTTCATGATGGATCTCAAGGCAGTCTCAGGCTGGAAAGTGGGTGAGGAATAACTACCTAGAGGACTTGCTCTTGGTCAAAACTACACGGCCCAGTAAAAACGCATCCGAGAGTGAAACCGATGAATATTTGACAATTCTTTCAGAAAATTCATGGAGTGTAAGAAAAGTCTCAGAGCAGCTGGTAAAAAAAACAAAAGGGGGGAAAAAAGAGCTGCATCACAGCTGGGAGAAATGAGACCCTGGGGACTGCACGCTCACAAATTTAACTGCACTGCTGGGGCGTTTTGTAGAGGAATTAATGAAAGAGCTGATGGGCCTGGGTCAGTGCTGCAGAGTAGTTTTGGGGCGAGGGTGGGAGAATGATTGCACTCCCTTGGCTTTGCTGCAGGTGACTGCTCAGGGGATAAGGAAGGCATAATCGGGCGCAATAATCATCAGCTCAGGCAAGATAAAGCATAATTAATAGGTAAGATGGGCTCATTGGAAGCAGATTGTGTCGAATTAAAGGCTTGTCGTTGCCAGGGTAGTCAGAAATGTGAGATGATGGCTGGGAGGAATTGTGCTTGGATGCAGGGTTTGGTGCGGTGCCAGATGACTCTGTCCTGTGGAGGCTGGAGCTGTAAAACTCCCTGTCAAATCCTGCTTGAATGCCTATCAGAATTTCACAGCCAAAACCACAAGAAAGGCCAGTGGCAGGTTCCCCCCAAGGGCTTTGCTGTGGTCGAAGGTACACGCTCTGGTGCATGGCTGTGTTGCAATATTGGTGCATCCAACCACGCCAAAGAATGGCCATCAAAATGAATCACAGATGCCACAGGCTCCTTTCCCTTGTTCCAAGTAATTGCTTTTCCCTGTGCTGTGTGGAGATAAGCTACCAGCACTGAAAGTAAGCAGGGAAATCGGGCCTCATCTGTGCAATTCGGTACCTATTCCAATTGCTATGGGAACCTTATCTTTTGCAGTTTCCTGTGAGTTTAACTGGAGAATTAGCATAGGGCAATCTTTTCACCATTTAATTTCCTTTCCTTTAAAAACTACAAACTGTTGGTGAAATGAACACTGAAAGTCAAGTATCAGAATTTGTACCTCTCTGGGACATTATCACTTGATTGGAGATGTTTTACTGCGGAAGGATGAGAGAGCTGGCAAATCTCATTCACGTTCCCTACAAAGGGCTGCAGCACCACATAAGACACCATTTATTTTATTTTTATTTTTTAAAGAGCTGAATGTCACATTTGCAACAGTAATTGCAGGAAGAGCTTAGCATCTAGAGGCTTGCAGTCAGGCCTCAAGGTAAGTAGTTTGGTGTTTTTTGCTCCCCCTTCCAGCAATGTTGCTCACGATTTGGTGTGGAGAGAAGTGAAGATGGGTTTACTCCTTTTCTGAGGCACTTGGACAAAACTGTAAAAATCCTACATAGAGATAAATCGGTTTTCAGTTTTGAACACAAATGTGGGGCTGTGTTATTGAAAATAAATACTGCATGAACTGGTTCCTCTGTTGCTGATGTATAATCTGATAGTAGCACCCACCTCTGCCAGGAAGCAGCTTATTTTAATAAAGGCAGAGGAGGTGTTGCTGTCCCCACTGAAAGCAATTCCAGAATTCCCAGGATCAGGAAATGAATCCAGTTTCTTTGGATGGGATTGACAGAATTTCGGGAATTTTAAGGGAAATCTCAGTGACCCAGAGTTGTTTAATTCCCTTTCCTTTAAAAACTAAAACCACTTAGATACACCCAGCTGAGGAAACAAGAGAAAATGCCGACGTCTTTTGCTGTAAGATCCCCAGCACAGTTAGAGACCAAGTAATAATTTTCTAATCTTATACAAAGATCTCAGGCATTGCTGCATGCATATGACAGATCTGACAGGTCTCCATTAGCCCCTGGATTTGAGCTCTTCTGGAGATCTCTGAGTCTGATGGGAAACTGCTCCTGTCCTGCCCACCACTAGGAATACAGTACTGAAGGGATGGTATGGAGAGGAGGGAGGTAATTTACTTTTCCCCTGTAATTGTTGGTAAGATGCCAAGATACAATGCATTTGAAGTCCAAGAGAAAGTACCAGGTGGCCATACTGTGCTGCTCCTCCTAGGTGGAAGAAAAAGACTTTATATAGAAGAGAGGACGGACATCTGTCAAGCACTTAACTACCACTTTTGGGTTTTCAGTTTTTTTCCTTTTTTTTTTCCTATTAAAAAAGCTTGTTTTAATCCCTCTCTCCAGAAAGAAAAGCCAGGGAAACAGTTTACTAAAAAAGGTACCAAGACAAAAGAAAGATCTTGCATTATCCTTCTCCTTTCTTCCTTTCTTTCCTTCCCGTTGTTTCCTCTGCTTCAACCTTTCTACCCTTCTTCCTTCAACGGTGATAGAAGGAAAAAAAAAAAAAGGAAGGAAACTTGTGTTGTACAAAATTTAAAGAAGGAAAGGTAAAACAAATGACAAACAAGGCAAAAAACTTGTTAAGAGTTATTTCCTTGCTGTGTTCCTCCCACTGTTTATGTACCCTCCCAGCCAGAGAGGTTGTATGTGCTCTTCTGGCATGTTTCTTTTTCCCAAAGAGAAATGTGTAGTTCTTGAGCCTCTTCCCTTAGATCCTTATCTGACTAAAGGTGATTCCTGATCTGACTGAACTGCTGCCCCCTGCAACTTGGTCAGGTAGGGAGACATTGTGGTGACCTCAAATGGCCCTGAGGCTGCAGCTGATTTGTGAGCCCTTTCTGTCCTGGCCCTGGAGGATGTATCCAGGCTCTGGAGGACTCTTACAGCAATTCTTGCACTTCTACCTTTGTCCAGCATCAGGATATCTTCAATTCACATAACTCCAGCCCTCAACATAGTTTTGGGGGGAGGAGAATTGCAGTGGCATTTCATCTTGGTTAGGGCTTGGCTCTTGAACCTTCTCCTGCCCCAGGTGACCATGGTAGCCCTCATGCAAAGGACAGTGACCTGCTGTAGCTCCCAATGAGCTGGAGATGCTGCTGTGCCCTCCCTTCAGCCCTCATCTTTACTTTTTGAGTGGAGAAAAGCCACGCCCACCACAGCCCTGGCGCAGGGGTTAGCTACCAAGGGTTGGAACCACAGCTCCACCCTGAGCAAAGCTCTTGATTTGCCCTTGAACCTGTGCAAGTATTGCAGCTTTCCAAGGGCCAGGAGAGGACAAAGAGCAGTAGGGACTGAGCTGGAGGAAAAAAGGGCATTTTTGCTTAGAAGAATAGACTGGCTTCTCAGGTTGTGTTTGTGCTGTGTGAGTTATGGGTGTTCTGCAGCAGCTGTGTGGTTTGTGCTGGAACCTGGGGACTTCCCTGAGTTTTGCTTCCCTAGTGTGTGGCAAGAGGGGTTTGCTAAGATGCTTTCCGCATTTTGAAGGGAGGTGGGTCTTGCACATGGAGAAATAAGAGATGTGCGAAGTGACTTGAGTGCACAGCAAACGAGGGCCGGGAAAGAGACAGTGGCCAGTCATGCAGGTATGGAACACATCAGGTCTTGAGGTCCTTTGCTTTATTAGGTTACACGTGCTTACGTACAGTAACATCTTACTAGTTAGCTAAGCCATGTTTGAACAGAGTAAGAGGGGAGTAACATTTATCAAAGGACGAGATAAAATTATACATGCTGTCAAAAAGTAAGAATTAAAATTTAAGACTCGAGAGGCTGAGTAGATGTGCATATGCTGCTATCCAGTTCCCTATGCAGGGCTGCAGGGAAGGGCTGGGGCATTAAAGTGAAAGTCTTTATTCCTGAACCTCTTGCTGGGGCCAAGGGAAGAGAAGAAATGTCTCTAACAGTGCTTGAGGTGGCAGTGGGGAGATTGTTTTGCTTTGTGTTGTTTTTAAACCCTGAATAAGCCCTCCCTCCTCAACTGCTTTTGGAGCACGATCCTGGGTCTGTTTTGAATCCCAGACCCACGACTGCAAAGGGGGACATGTATTTTCAGAGCTGTCTGTTCCAGTTTGTCAAGCTTGAGCTTGGAAAGCTCTGTGGAAAGAAAGGGGATTCCCAGGGAGAAATGCTTTCTATGTCTGTGCAAAGCCAGTTGTGGGCAATTCCATCCTGTCTTGCTTTTGCCAAGACCATTCTGTGAAATGGCCTTTTGATTTTTTTTCTCCTGTTTTGGTGGTGGTGGTTGTTGTTGTTTTACAGGCAGTAGAATCGTTTCCTGCCCAGCCTGGGTTACAGCCAGGATGGGGAGCTCTATCCCACTAGCTGACTGGGATGGCTGCTCTGGACTGGAGGCGTGCTCTCACTGAATCATTATTTGCCAGTGGCCACTAAACTTTTCCAAAACATGCTTTATCGAGTGTGCAGCTTTTGTTGTGCCATGGTGTAGATAGTGGTCTCTGGAGAAAGATGAGAGATTACAGGCCATCTGGTGCCTTTCTCGACCTCGTATTTTCAACAGGAGATGAAATAAGCCTCTTTTTCTCATGGAGGAATAAACCCACCCCCAATCATAAAAGCAACCTGTCGCTTTCCCATATCCTGGAGGAGGGCCACTGCCATGTTGTGCAACATGAACTTGCCTCCCCACGCACTAGCTTTGAGGGGAGGATGACCTGAGAGCTGTAGCCCGGTGTTTCTTGACCAGGCTCTCCAGAAGCAGAGGTGCTGCAAGCAGCACACAAGGGGGCCCAGGAGCTGCTGAAGAGAAATCCCACCAGTGGCAAGGTACAGCAGTATAAATCAGTAACCCTGGGTTAGCCTCTGGGTTAGCTGGGATGGCGGGAGGCAGGCTGGCAGTGGGAACTGGCCTGATGCTGGGGCTTATTCTCATAACTTTGGGGAAAACGTACCGTGGCAGTGTTAGTTTTCTGTGCTATGCTTTTGGATGAGGTATGAATACCCCAGACAGGCCAGGTGAGTGTGGCTCCCCTTGCACTGGTGTGATGTATATACCAGTCATGTAACAGGGTGGAATTCTCTCTCCTGTGCCCCATGCAATCCTGTCCCATGTTTGTTTGTCTCTCATCACCAGCATTAAGCTCTCCCACTCCAAAAGGCTTTTGCAAGGCTCAGCTTTACACCTCGTTTACACCTTACCTCAAGCATAAGCTGCCAGCCAAGTAAGACAGAAGACCAGGAACAGCTTCCAGTCATCCTGACCCATAAACCTCCTTGTCCAGGAGCCCAAGCGTGGGAGTGTGTGTCTCCACGTGGGTGAGCAGTGTGGTCAGACACAGTTAGTTTTTTCAGAGCCTGTGGGCAGAGGATAGTTTCAGAACATATTGATTTTACAGCAATAAGTTGGGAAAATACTCAGAATTAATTTTCTTTTGTTGTTGTTGTTGTTGTTGTTGTTGTTTTTTATGAGTTACCTGCCACAGCTCACAGTTAAAAGATCCAGCTTTTAGAAGTAACCATGGTGGTAGTGGATCAAGGGTTGGACTTGATGATCTTGGAGGTCCCTTCCAACCCAGCTGATCCTATGATTCTATTCTATGATTCTATGATTTGGTGCCTTAAAATTTTACATTATTTTCAGTAAGACACCCAGCTCAGGCTCTTTTGCAGTTCAAGACATGGGGTGGCATTTCCCTTGCATCTGGGGGTTGTCGAGCTCAGTCCTACTTTCTTGCTTCCCTTGTCTCCTGGCAGTTGGAGCTGGGCAGCTGGGAGTAGGGCAGGAGGATGCTGACCTGCATCATTACTTCTGGATAGTCTCTCCAAGCATTTGCAATGGCCTATGGTCAGGTGAGGCAGCAGCAAAACCTTTGTTGTTTGGTCTTTGTGCACCCGTGAGGTTTCAGGTGAAGAAGAAAAAGGCAAAAGGGACTGGTCCCTTTTGGAAAGTTATAGATACTGACCTGAGATGTTCCAGATCTCCACATGAGGATGTGTGTGTGTTATGGTGTCTGGGGGAATTATGCTTTGGTAGGTTTTGTCTTAATTACATCACTTCTGTGAGGTTGTGACAGAAGCCTGAGTAAATGCGTGGCTGCTGGTGTTTTGAGTTTGTGAGCTTCTGGACTTCAACTACAAGTGGAGTTAACTTGTAATCTTGGTAAAACTTTCCAAAACATCTTCCCTCTCTGGAAGGAAGGGAAGGGTGTTTTACTGTGGGCAGAACTGTGAGCAGCACCTTCTGGCTGCTCTGTCCAAAGTCCCTCGGGCAGGCTGACGTAAGATACATCGAACGATGGCAAAGCAATTTCCCACTGTCCGATCCTATCGATAGGAGCAATTCCCCCGGAGGGGGTGAAACTCAATTGCTGCAAACAAGGGCTAGTTCTGGTTGTGTGCATCACATGGGCGAGCAGCAGCATGGCTGCGGGCTGGAGACATTTTCCCTCTCGGTGCAAGCGCCGTCGCTTCCTATGTGGTGATAAATGAGGTTGCACCTCTGTGGCACTTCACAGAGGAGCCAGGCCTTTGCTCTTCCTTCTCCTTTGGTCTCCAAGGCCCATGTACTTATCATGATGGAGCACCTGTGGTGGGCAGTGGTTATACTGCCTCTGTTGGTAATGTGCCCTGGTTTGCATCTCATATCCAAATCTGTCCTATTTTTCCTCCACATCTATCACTTTTTTCCCCCCACTCCTGTGCTTTTGAGGTCAAACGCAGCTGTGCAATAAGGCTTCTCCCTGTAGGAAAGCATTGCCATACAATTGTACTGGGAAGTGGCATAAGCTGCATCAGTGTAACTGTACTTATGCTGATTTAAAGTGTCTACCTCAGAGCTTTTATCAGCATAAGCCTCTTAATAAAGAGTGAAAAAATCATATGAGCTACACCAATGATGCAACTAGACCTAAGGGCACACTGACTTTAAAGTTAGGTTGGTTTAACAGAGTATGTGATTTCAGTTAAATCTTCCAAAGTATGTGAGGATGCTTCTATTTATGTTCCATTCACACTAATTTTAATTTATATTAAGTCCATCAGGATCAAGTTTGAGCTAAGTTGAACACCATGTTACTTTTCACACTGTTTTTGATGGATTAGAAGCAATAGAGCTAAATCTTCCCAGTCCCTTGTGACAGCAGTTTCACTGACAGAAAGATGATCAGGTTTTTTTAGCTACATTTATCAAAACACTCTGCAGATACAGGCCTGCTTTCATCAACGTGACTATGTCCACTTAGTACCCAAATGGTCTTTAAACTGGAATAATCGTTTCAAAGTGTGCTGCTCTGGTTTAATTTAGCCTAATTTGTTTTGATTTAGATGGGCAACACTGGTTAGTTATGGGTAGGCAAGACCTAAGGGAACACTCTGCAGTGGTAGGTACTGCTGTTACACAAGTCCTACCAGAAGTCCTTTTCCCTGCAGAAATCCCATGATTGGTGTCCCTAATGTCACTCGCTTCTGATTCCCAGGGCCTCGTGCTCCTTGTTGGTGTGCTGGGCAGGAGGTGCATACCACAGGGACACTGGACACCCAGTTTCACTCAGATACCCCTGTGGCAGGGAAGACAGCTGGGAAGATGGGGGCAAGAGGAGACTCTGCCACACTTAGAATCTGCTCCCAAATCCCACCATGGACACCAGTGGTACATGGCCTCTGGGGCCACCTGGGAACCTCAGTGTCCCTGTGCCACCTGGACCCCAGGCATTCTTGCACTCTGGGTTCTCTGGCCTTCGGAGCACCTCTGGAGAAAGCTGGAAGCCCACAGGGAGGTGCCTTATTCTCACCAGTGCTTTGAGACCAACCAGCAATCAGCTCGAGAGCTGCCGCTGCCAGGCAGCGGGCGCTGGTGATTAAACCTCACACCTTGGAAGAGCAGCTCAGGTCTGGTTTGCCCGGCAGGAAACTGAGTCTGTGTCACCATGAGATGCTGTAGGTGTCAGCCCCATCAGAGGACAGGCTGGGCTGCCCACGGGCGTGGGCCATCCTCAAGCACCACCTCCAGCTGTGCTGTGGCTGGGGAAGCAGACGTGAGGGTGCAGAGGGCTCAGCTTTCACTGTGCTTCAGTCGTTGACAGAAGTCCCAGACGTGCTACGCCGTGTGTAGCAGTGTGTTTCTCTTCTCTCAGAAATTTCCACATGTACAGCCCTATTTATTTCAGTCAAATGGAAAAAATAGTCATACAGCTAGTAGAATTCTAGCCACATGAACTGGAGATACAGGCTCTTAATTGAAAGAAAGAGTAGGGAAAATGCCATTATGGCCCCTTTGAATGCATGGATTTTATTTTAGTGGCCTTTTCTTTCTCTTCTACCTAATATCCCCTCTTCTCCCAGGACCTGTCAGATTGATCTTCTTCATTTTGTGCTGGGGGACCCTTGGTACTTCAGGTCTTGCTTGCTGACTGAAAGGTCAGTGCTGATAAATATTTAGCAGAGGAAGTTTTTCTCCCAGGTGTTTCTCAACTACATGAGTTAAGGTGAGGTGCACAGGACAAAAACCAGAAAAAACACTGAGCTTAACAGAACTTGGCTGTTTCAACGTTGACAAAGTCTTACTGCCAGTATATCCAGTGACATTATCTCACTAGTTCTCCCTGTCTCCAGAGTATTCCAGGGGAAAAAGATGGATAGGTGAGCCCTGAACAGAAGTGCTCCAACCCAATCTATTTTTCTTTTGCAGGTCACTTTTAATCTCCTCAAGGGGTGGTAATTCCTTTTCTTTTCTTGTATTTATTTTCAGCTTTGTTCTTGCCATATTTCTTTTACATTTTTTATTCCTTCACCATATTCTGTTTTGTTTGTGCTGCTGGCAGCAGGAGTGATTTAAAAATGCCCAGTCTTTGAAATAAGTCATCTTCAGATGAAATTGCTCCCAAGGGCTCCTAGCAGCTGCAGGGGCAAGCGGCATAAATGTAGATTTAATACCAGTGGCTGAAGGTAATTGTAAATAAAAGTACTATCTCTGAAAAGTATTGGACAAGTTTCCAGGGAAAGGATATTTCATAGAAGCTGTGTGCCCCAGCAACGTGGCTGGCAGCCTGTGGAGGGCTATAAACACATGGGGCAAGACCTTTCCCTGTGCCATAGGACTGGCTCATCCCAACTTGACTGGGAGTGATTACACAGGGTGGCCAAGATCAGGAGAGGCTGATTTCTTTCCTGGGGAGAAGAGTCCAGTGAGGCTGGCAGGTGATTGTGTTACTGGGTATTAATAGTCCAGCCACTGGTGGCAAAGCAACCCTAGACCCCACCAGAGGAGTCTTCAACAGGCCCCCTGTGTTGGGAGTCACGTGGAGCACCTGTGGGTGGAAGTCGACAGGATTGAGCACAAGGAATTTGTCCTGCTTTTCCTACCCTGGTCTTACACATTTTCCCTGTTTATTCCCTACTGACCACCATTTGAGGGTGGATGGGTTGGGTGGCAGGAGTCAGACCAGACCTGAGCTTTGAGCCAGCTCAGGGAGGAAGGAGGCTGGCCAGCTTGGCTCCCACTGCAGGTTGATGGGATTGCTGAGGTTGCAAAGGAGAAGACCATGCCTTAAACTGGGCTGAAAAAAGCAGAGAAGACCAGGCCTTGGACTGGGCTCGAAAAAGCAATGCCTGAGAGCCCTGCTGCGCTGGCCATCTTTGCTTCCCTTTGGAGGTGGTGGACTTAGTGGGCTTAGTCAGAGCCAGGCAGCCTTGTATCTCATAACAGCCCTTTTCAATGAGTGCAGCCCTATTCCTCTTTGAAAATTATCCTCAAGTGATTATACTGCTGCTTATTTTACAATGATCGTGTTAATGATTTTTGCAAATGAATTTTAAACCAAGAGATGTCTAGCCTGATTATTTGGCTGCTTTCACCACTGTCATCGTGTCCAATAGCTGTTATTCAGAAAACACTCTTTGTACTTATGTTTACTCACACAGATTATATGGTGGGGTTGGGCTCTTTTGCTGGATACTTCCCAAGCCACCAAAAGCTTTGGAGGTGGCAGCCCAAACGCTTCAAATGCAAATACTGAAGCCAGCGAGTATTTTTCTGAGTACCTGCCAAGATCCCATTTTCTGAGAACACACTGGTGAATCAAAATTTAGTTTCGTGAATGTTTATGGACAACAACCAAGAGAGCAGCTCCAAATTCCATCTTTTCAAACAAATTCTGCTTCTCTTCTAAGGCATGTTCTGAAATCCATTTGGGCTCACCAGTCCATGTCTAGTTCTTGCCAAGCATGAAATATCCATGGAGTCTCTTCTTTTCTTGGTCACACTTCCTTTTCTTCTGGAAAAGAAGGTGATGCTCAGGCTGATGCTGAGAGATATTCTTGCTCTCCAGTGCCTTTGATACTCACTGCCTGCATCTACCTCTAACTCGCACAACAAATGTGATGCAGAAAACACCATTGCTTTTAAATTCAGTTTTTATCCCTTCAGTGGAAATGGCTACTTTCTGGCCTGTTTTCTCCCAAGAGCAGAAATGCATGAGGTGGGGTGATGGTTTGCTGTGCTTCCAGTAAAACATGTGCTTCCTATGGTAACTGGTGTTTCCAGTTGACCCACTGCAATTCTCAGGTGTTCCTCAGCCTGGACTGTGTGGAGAACTGTGAAGAACACATATAAGAGACTGATTCCCTCAGGCCTGAGATCTGCACCTACCCTGCAAGCAAACTGCTGCTGTCTCTCTCTTTATTTTAGGAGGTGTCACATCAGCAATTGGGCTTGAGGAGAGATTGAAGACCAAGAGGGAACAGTGATGGATGGGCTAATGCCAGGCTCAGAAAAGTGTGAGTTACAATATCTTGGTACTTGATGTTTCATTAATTGTGACAAAAGGAGGCCAGGGTCTTTGCTTCTGGCTCCTCACTGAAACTACCTGCAGGTACCAGCTCTAATTTGGTTGGTTTGGCCAAAGAAAATCTAATTGGTAACATGGCATTACACTCAAAAAGCCCTTTCCTGGCTTGGGCCCCGTGGTAACTGCAAAGAAAGCTGGGCAAACAAGAGGGAGCTGAGCCTCCTACATGGTCCAGCACATCCAGGGCTGTGCCTGCACACTTCCCATGGGACCGGGGAGGCATACCTCTGCCAGTTCTGCTTTCACCAAGAGTTGTGATTCAGAGAAACACAGAATGGTTTGGATTGAAAGGGACCTAAGTTCTAACACCTAGTTCCAACTCCCCTGCCACAGAAAAAGCTCTCCAGGCTTGGGGCTTGATCTTGCTCCTGCGGGATTCATCTGGCAGCAATTCCAACAGTGCTCCATGGCACAACAGGCAGTAATGATTTCCCTGTTCTGCACTACATGCTCCCTGTCCATGCAGGCTGTGCTCACTTGCAGAGATACAGAATGAGGTTTCCAGGGAGTAAGGTCAGCACATTTTCACTGGCTGTTTTTTTATCCCAGACAAGAGTCTAAAGGAAAGATTTCTGAGATAGATGTAGTTTACTTCTCTTTTGACTTTATTGCTGATAAATAAGAGGTTCTCAAGCTCACAGAATGGTGTGAGGGACACAGGCTCCCTGGAAGAGGAGAGGGATCAGGGTGCTCTGTAAGACGCACTTTCGGAAGGGAATACCACTCACTGCATTTGCTTCAGCTCAGAGAGGATGCCTGTTTGTCAGGATGCCTCCAGACTGTGTACAATCCTCCCACTCAGCTCTCAACTCCCCCCCTTGGGTTTACCCAGTAAAAATACTTTCTTTTCTCCATTCTCCCTCTCTCCAGCCTTGCCAACCTTCCTGGCATCACTGCCTTTCTCCTTTAATGCCCAAAATAACCTGGTGGGAGTCTTACTGCCTCATCTATGTTCCTCCAGGGACCACTTAGCCTGAAACGTGTTCCTTAAACATAGCCCATTGACAAGATATTAGCATAGATGTAGATGGGACCATGAGCAGCAACCTCAATGAAACTGTAAGGCAGCATGTTTTCCCTCCCATCCGTATGAGTTAAGGGCTTTGGCAGATGAACTCTGCTAGGTTTAGCTGTGATGGGTTATGGTGTGATTGCCTGCTCTAAGGGGACAGGGGGGACCTTTAAAAAATATGAGTTTTGATAACAAGGAATAAAAAGTGTGGTATTGCCACGGTACCCTCAGCCCACCTGAGTGCCCAGGGAGCTGGTGCAATGTCACGAGTGGGGTGAAACAAGCCCTTGTACATGTGTGTGGGGGTACGGGAAGAATCCAGGTCACCATGTGTTGTCTCTGCGGCACTGAAAGCCACTAAACGTACTTGTCCTTAATTTAAGTGTCCCTAGCTCTGCTTTCACACAAAGACAGGAGCTGGGGAAGTGCAAAAGTGTTGTTTTTGCTGGTGATCTCTGGAGAGAACTGTACTTTGATTCACTTGGGCTCCTTCCCCTGCCCCTCTGTCGATGCTGCCCCTACTGAGACAGAGCTGGCAGCTCCCATGTGTTGCTTTTGAGAGCAACTTCTCTGTACTCCCAGTGGATGCACATTATCTTGGGCCCCAGAAAGAAAAAGGAAAGGGAAATAGAGGTCCCACACACCCCCTTTTAGAGACAATGACAGGATTTACACATGAAGCAACTGGTCATTCACATGTGGCTCCTTTCCTAGGCTGATGGATGGTACCTGGCACTTCAAATGAGAAGTATCCCTCTTCCTGTGGCTGCCTCCTCCACTCCAGAAGCCTGACCTACAGCCAGTAATGCACCTGACTGGTGACACCACAGTGTCCTTTGCGGCTGTACCTCCTAAACCCTGCCTGCCCTGTTCCCCCTTCCCAGGGCTGCACTGTTGCAAGCCTGGCCCTGTACAAGGGCTGTGTCGGGTAGGGCTGTGTGAAAGCAGGAGAAGCTCATGGGCAGAGAGACCCAACCTTCCTTCCTCTGCATCCTCAGCGTGGAGGCAGCCAGCCCTGCTTGTGGAGAATGGTGGAGACACTGACCAAAATACAAACACAGAAGGCAAGAGGTGTGCACAGCACCTGCACCACGGCCTCTTATGTACTGCTGCAGCCATCCTTGGGGGACCCGCTGCAGCAACATGGGTGCAACCAACTCCTTGTAACCCACTCACCTGCTGACTCCCCCTTTCTTTTGCTCCAAGCCCTTTGTCCGTGCTTCTGCCCTCCCTCCTGCCCATGCCCTTGGAGCCTGTGTGATTTTCCAGTGGCTGTGGGTCCCCCGCCCCCACACCCGCGACAAGCAGGGTGTTGATTTGACTGGACATGAGCTCAAAGCTCATTAAGGGCTCGTCGATATGGGCACTGAGGAGCTGTGTGGGGTGAGGCAGGGGGAGAAGGGCCCTGCGGCAGGAGGGGCTCATAGCTCCGCTCTGCGTGTGGGAGCAGGTCAGTGTGTGCATCCCTGGGCTGGTGTCTCCGTGAACAGCTCCACGCACGCCAAGGACCCCACCACTGGCTGGCACCGTGAGGACACTGGGACACCACTGGGACAGCAGTGTCTGGTCTTGGAGGTATGAGCACTGGGGTCATGGAAGGGAACATTGCAGCAGAGGTGGGGATGCCCACATGAGCATCCCTGGGGAAGAGCTGCTACAGGTGCTGAGCTCTCTTTCATCCACGCTGAGTTGGATAGGGCTGAGGGGTGCAGCACCCTGAGGACAAGGCAGGATGCAGGATGGCTGCTGCTTCCCAAAAGGTGCTGGAAAGGTGAGCAAATGGGAGCAGACCTGCCTGCCTGGTGCTCAGCTGGGACAGTGTGAGGTGGGCATGGTGCCCAAAGCAGGAGCAGATGTTGTCTATGCTTTACCCACAGCTGCACCACTGTTATGCCTAAATTTCTTCTGTCAGTTGCCATTGCCATTGCAATGTCCCCTTGGTCAAGAAAGACAGCAGTTGCTGGGAAGGCAGCATTTTTCCCATCTGTCACTACCATGCAGAGCTAACTGGATTCCCCTTGATGTTAACAGGCAGGTGCAGCAACCAACTTCCAAAACCTCCTTACTATGAGCAAAATCCCAGTCTGGGGAGGCTGTTTCTGCTGCAGTGGAGAAGTGGGGCAGGAGCCATCAATCCCCACATGCTGCAGTGGGGGTGGCTGGGGAGGACCTGCAGGTGCTGCTCCTTTCCCTGCTGGGTGAGCAGCCCCCTGCTTCCATTTGGGGAGCTGGTGCTACCAGGCAGAGTGAGGGGAAAGGTGACAGTCCCAAAACATCACCCGAAAATGGTACTGGGGGCTTCTTAAATTGCTTGTGGGCTGGGGAGAGATGTAGTGAGCACAAATGATGGCTTAGTAAAGATGCTGTATCAGGACTTATGTGAAAACCCAGTTCCCTGGGGAGGGTCTCCAGTGGGTAGGACTCAGGGGATGGCTTAGGTGATATGCACACAACAGGCATGGGTTCGGCTGCCCCTCCTCTGGGGCTGGGACAGCCCTTCCCATCCTAATGCACTGCAGCCCCAAGGATCAACAGTGCTTCAGGCTCTGGGCACCCCTTTGCAGAGGCCCTGCAAGCTCTGGTGGTCTGTGGCAGTGGAGTTCAGCTTCCTTGCCTGTACAGCTGCTGAGGTATTTCTGGGGACTGTGTTTGTGCCTTTCCTTACTATCTATCTCCAAGAGACTGTGACCCTGAAGGAGGTGACTCACTCCCTACATGAAGGCCTCCCCATCTCACCTCTGTCTTCTGGTCAAACTCGTCCACACATCTCCTCTCTCCCCTCCTACCGTCTCCCTGCTCCCCATCTCCTGTGAGTGCTTCTTGGAGCTGCAGCATGGATATAAAAGGCTCCTCAGTTTGCTAGTGATCTTGCTGTGATTCTGCCAGCATCTGGTGGAGACCTCCAGCACATTTAATTTCAGTTCTTCTTCCTGCATGAGAAGCTCTGTGACAGTTTGGGATTTTGTTGAGAGAACAAAAGTCAGGCTGAAGACCTGCAGCTGGAAATGTGTTTTCTTCTGAAGAAACTTAATGGACACAAGAAACAAGCAACTAATGTCCTTATACTGGGGTGGACGTCTCCACAGCACTGGGTCCTGTTTGCTGGGGACAGAGCGAGTGCCGTGCCTGCCTCCGTGGAGAAGCTCGTGAAGTAAAGGCTGTCCCTGACCCAGGAGGGTCAGGGTCTGCAGCCTGGTACACACACTGGATGCGTGAGATCTGGCTCTGGTCTCCAGCCAAGGCAATGTGGACAACAACCTTTCCTTGATCTGCCTTATCTCCTGATATCCTGATTCCTGGGGGAAGAGCTGCTCCTTCTGCACTGCTGTATCAAGCTTAGCACAAGAAGTAGGGTGAGGAGAAGATCTGAATGTTTAAGTAGTAGACACCAGCTAGTTGCAGGTTGATCCTAGACAGCAGGGGATGGTGCTCTTACTGGGTAATGAGCACATTTTCTGGGCTATTTTGAGGAAAACCTCAGCCAAGGGGCTGGAGGCTAGCAATGCTGTTGTGTGGTTCCTGCAGAGGCAGCTGGCTCTGCTGTTCTCTATTTTCCACCCCAAAAAAGCACACGAACAAAGGGAGCCTTGCGGCAGCCTCAGGACTCTGGAGCACAATTATCTCTCCGGTTTCATGGAGAAGGAGAACAAACAATTTGGCATCTGAAAGTGGACACAGATTTTCTCTTTGGCTTGGCTATGCTGCAGCAGGAAAACAATGTTATGCTCTGCGTGTGAAGCTGTAGTCTTTCTCAGAGCTGAATTACATGTGCCAGAGTGGTGACGGGCACTTTCACAGGTGCCATGCTCCGAATGAGGTGCTCAGTAGCTGCTGTGACCTTGGTCACAGTGAAGTTCATCACCTTCCATTGCAAGACTAATATTGTTCAATTTCCTCTGCTCAATGACTTCATTAAA